ATACATATATATATATATATATGCATACATATATTTACATATATATAATTCGATTAAATATTTTATTAAAATGTACACATATATGTATATGCATATATATATATATATATATGTTTTTCTGGTGTACGCTGTATAGTATTGTTTAATTAGATTATATTATATAATATATATATAATATAATATATATCTAAATATATCGAGAATTGTATTTAAAGCATACATACATATATATATATATATATGTATATGTGGTGTATATAATATAATACCTTATTATTATATTATAAATAAATTATTTAATATATAATGATAATAATAATAATAATAATAATAATAACAATCGCTTGTAAGGATATTGCGGTGTACAGGCACATCCCTTCTCAAAAAATATATAATTTTTTCGGCGTTTGTTTTGTAGAACCGCTCTGAAGGAGAGACATTTCTTAGGAGTTATAATTTTTATAACTACCATTTGCAGTACACCCCTACAAGGGTTTAGGGTTTAGGGTTTAGGGTTTGGAGATTAAACACCATCCAGCCGAAAGATACCTCCCACATACGTTTTAGGGTTTAGGGTTTAGGGTTTAGGGTTTACTAAATTTAAACACAAAAGACGCAGGGGAGCCAAGTACAGCAGCTACAGCAGCAGCAGCAGCAGCAGCAGGTGAAGCAGCAGCAGGCACAGCAGCGGTAAGTGAAGCAGCGGCAGCTGCTGCAGCAGATACAGCAGCAGCAGCAGCAGAAGCAGATGCAGCAACAGATAGGGGTACAGCAGCAGCAACAGCAGGTAAAGCATGTACAGCAGCTACAGCAGCAGCAGATGCAGCAGCAGCAGCTGTATGAAGTTTAATTCATTGCTAGCTGTTGAGGTCTCTGTACGTTTGCTGCAGCAGAAAATAAATAAAAACAAACAAAAGGCAATTGATGTTTGTTCGCAGTAAACAACAAAACAATAAAAAAACACAAAAACAGAAAAATAAAAATAAATAAACGACGCAAACAGAAGCCAAGAAAACATAAGTATAAATAAATAAATATATATATATTTTATATATATATCTTAATATATGTATATATATATATATATCTATATATTTATATTTATGCATATATGTAATCGTTATAGACACACACACACACACATATATATATATATATACATTACCAATCGGATATATATATATATGTGTACATATATATATATATATATATGTACGTATATATATATATACATATCTATATCTATATATATATATATATATGTGATATATATATTATTCATGCAGCAGAAACAGAGGGGCTCTTGTATATACTGGATCTGTAGGCCTACTTCTTTTCGGAGGTTTTAATTGTCTTTAGAATTTAAATAAAAGTAAAAAATAAATAAATATAAACAAAGCAACAAAAGCGAAAAAGATTGCTACTGCATTTTATTATCATCCCTGTTATTTATAATAATAATAATAATAATAATTATTATTATTATTGTGAAGTATTAATATTAATATGAATTATTACGATAAATTACTATTATTATTATTATTATTATTATTATTATTATTATTATGAATAATTAATATTATTATTATTATAGATTATTAATATTATATATAATCGTCCGTTAATTAGAGTTTTGTAAGAGTTATTAAGAGGATGGGTTCTTCCTTTCTATTCTTGTTTGACGACAAATAAAAAAGATTAAAAGATATAAATTAATAAATAAAGTAAAATTAAATCAAAACAAAGGCAAAGAAAAAAAGAAAATGTTGAATCTGCCTATACACCTGAACCCTTTGACCTACTTGAATAGAAACGAATGCAACGCCTGGTTAAATGCATAAAATAAAAATAATTTCTTCGTTTTTCTTTGCTTTAAAACATTAAAACAATTAAATATATCATTATTCAATATAATAAAAGAGAAACATAGCTTCAATTTCCTATCTTTAGGTGTGCATACACCTGAAAACTCTAACGAATAAAAATAATAAACAACAAAACCACGTGAAGCCCCCTCGTCCTATGATGCTGCAGAGAGTTTTTGTTTGTATAGAGAAGAAGAATTTATTGTTTATTAATAATTGCTTTAAATATAATTGTATTGGATGAAAATAATCAATTTATTGTATTATTTGCCTTATTCATTTGATCAGCTTCAAGAATACCCCACAAGAGCTGCATATACACCTGAAGAACAGCTACCACAGCGGCGGGATCGGCTAACCAATCGATCCCAGTAACACCCCTTCTATTCTTTCTTCTTTTTTTAAGTTTATTTAATATAAACAAACTTTTTGCTTGCTATTGAAGCTTCCTTTGAGGGTCTTCTCGCAATATATTCACAGCTTTCGCTCTGCAGCTGTACACAGTCGCTGCTGCTGCCTCTGTTGTTGTTGTATCTGCGGCTGCTGCATCTATTGCTGCTACAGCTTTTGCTGGTAGAGCTGTTTCTGTTGCATCTGTTGCTGCATCTGCAGCTGTTGTTTGTGTGGGCTCTGCAGCTGTTGCTGCTTGTGCTGCTGCTGCAGCAACAAATCTTGCTTCTTAATACCTGTGCAGCAGCAAATCCTCCGTCTGCCTTTCTTTTCGCTGCCTCTCCTGCAGGTGTTGTTGCTCCTGCTGCAGCAGCAGCAGCAGCAGCAACAATGACAACTACTAGCGTGTCTGCGTTGCCTTCCACACTTGTAGGTACAGCGCAAGAAGATGAGTCTGCAATTGTTGATGCATCTCAGCAAACAGATGACAGCCCTGAAGAAGAAATACAGTTAAAAGAATATATTGATAAAGATATTTTTTCTGACGGAGCCCGCCGGGAGCCAGCACCAGAGACACGAACAACAAGAGAGTCTGCTGCAGCAGCAGGAAGAAGAGGTAGTCGCAGCAGCAGCACGCATATCCCTCTAGATGGTCTTCAGATCCTTGCATTAGTTGCTGCTATTGCTGCTATTGCTGCAGCAATAGCGCTGCAGCTGCTAGCGTTGAAGACACCGAAAGCTGTGCAGCCGGAGCAGCCAACTCCTGTGCTTCCGGGTGGTGATGCTGCTGCTGCTGGTGATGCTGCTGCTGCTGGTGATGCTGCTGCTGCTGCTCCTGGGGGCAGCCTGCTGCCGTCTCAAACACCTTTAAGCTTACAGTGGCAGCTAGCAGACCTGCAAACAGAAGCAACAAGATTAACAAGACAATGGAGGCGCAGCAGCAGCGATGTGCAGAGACAGTTTCTCAACCTGTATCTAGAAGAAGAGACAGAAGAAGAGACAGAAGAAGCAGCAAAAGAAGCAGCAGAAGAAGCAGCAGAAGAAGCAGCAGAAGAAGCAGCAGAAGAAGCAGCAAAAGGAGCAGCAAAAGGAGCAGCAAAAGAAGCAGCAACAAACACGCAGACAGGGGTACACCCCAAGCTCGACGTTTTCTACAAGCCTGTTAAACAATTAGCAGAAGCCGTATCTGCTTTTGTGGCGCAGCAGCAGCAGCAGCAACAACAACAGCAGGAGCAGCAGGAGCAGCAGGAGCAGCAGCAGCAGCTGCTGCTGCAGCAGCAGGATATATTAACTCGCATTCTGCTGCTGAAGGCTGGTGTTCAAGCAGCACGTCTGCGTTTAGTTGCGTTAGCTGAAGTAGACGGGCTTCAGCAGAAGCTGGATGAAGCACAGGCAGAGCAGCTGATACTGCAGCTGAAGGCGGTACGTCCAGGAGAAGACGAAGCACTTCACAGACAGTATGTAGAAGATTATTATTGCGGCGAAGAGATGATAAACCTGCTAAACAAAGTGTCTCCTCTTGAAGCCCTGGACCCCACAGGCGAGCTGCTGCAGCAGATCGAAGAGATGAAGCAGCAGATTGATTTACATATTGTTACACGCGGTCTAGGCAGCAGCTTTCTTAAAACTATAGTGTATCTAAACGCAACAGCAGCTGCAGATGCAAGCATCTTTGATGCATACAATCCATTCGGTGCTGCAGTAGAAACATTGCTGCAGATGCAGCAGCAGCAGCAGCAGCAGCAGCAGCAGAAAGAAGAAGAATCGCGTGCAGGTAAAGGTATATTAGATATGCCGATTTCGTCTATGGAGCTGATGACAGAGACAGTCGATGACTTTGAAGCATATAAATCTTTAAATCCTATTGCATCTGGAGCCGTAAGAGAAGCCCTCTTAACTTGGACTGTACAGGCAGTTACGGATGCTGCGAAGCTTATCGACGACTGGCAGGAAGATATATATGCGCAGACAGAAGAGATTAATAAAAAACGCATCCCTGCAACTTTAGCTGAAGAAGATGATACAGAAACAAGAGATGAAAATGCATTCCTACTCAGGGTACTCGTCAACCTACTCTAAACCCTAAACCCTAAACCCTAAACCCTTAAAAATTCCTCACAAACCATGTCTTATAAACCCCTATGTATACCCTAAACCCTAACAAACCCTAAACCCTAACAAACCCTAAACCCTAATTCTTTCAAATGTTTGCCTGATAGGATAAAATGAGTTTCTTTGTAGACTCTAAACCATCACCGCTCCGCCTAAACCCTAAACCCTAAACCCTAAACCCTTTCAGGAGAAAAGGGGTTTCCTGTAAACCTGTGATGAGGCCAAGCAGCCTCTAAAGCCGCCCCCAAACCCTAAACCCTAAACCCTAAAACCCGACGGTCTGTTCTCTGTTCAGGTTTAGTTAGGGTTTAGGGTTTAGGGTTTAGGGTTTAGGCGTCTGTTTGGCTTCGTCTTTTTGCGTATCTTTAGCAAACCCTCAACAGGGGTTTGCAGACTCAATTAGTGTTTATTATTTCTTTCTTGATCCTAACAAACGAGACAGAGTTTTCCTGCTCTTGCTGCTGCTGCTGCTGCTGCTGTTGCTGCTGCTGCTGCTCAACCCAGCAGCAGATGCACCCGTCGCGCGCTGCTGCGCCTGAGAGTT